AAAAAGACAGTGTTTCTGAGATTTAACTACTCTAACATGCACATGGATCTTAGTCTCCTTATAAAATCAAGCGGTAGATCCATGGAACAAGCAGAAACTATAAAATTTTTAGGAATACACATATCGCAAAACTGCAAATGGGATACGCATATAGAGAAAGTTAGTCATAAGATTACCTCTCTTTGCTATTGCATGTACGAGCTGAGTTTTATCGTTGATAAGTGGATATTGTTAATGTTTTACCATGCACATTTCCATTCTACTCTGACTTATGGAATAGAAGCATGGGGAGCATCCTCCAAATTACAAAGGCTTCTTATATTACAAAAAAGAGCTATTAGAACTATTGCAAAGGTGGGAAGGCGCTTTAATTGCAGGGAACTATTCACTGATTTGAAGATTTTGACAGTGCCTTCAGTATATATATTGAATATATTGATTTACGTCAAATCTCACCTGAACAATTTTAGTTCTATAAATTCTGGAATTTATAATACCAGAAACAGAGAAGTATTGGAGGTGCCGGCACATAGGTTGTCTAGAACGGAGGAGAGTGCCAAATACATGGGAATAAAACTCTTCAACAAACTACCCATTGATTGTAAATCACTACCGCTGATATTATTTAAAAAAAGAATCAAGCAAATTTTACTTGATAAAGCTTTCTACTCTATAGAAGAGTTTTAATGAGTGATAGTCTTTTTTAATTGTTTTAATGTATGGTTCAATTTTAATTTGTTAATTTGTATTTTAATTTGTTTTCATGTTTATACACTTCGTGTTTTTATTTGATGTTTTGAATGTTATTTATGTATGTAGGCAATTCTGTTTATACAAATATTCAATTGACTTATCCTATATCACTTTGTGATCCAAAGGATGAATAAATTATTATTATTATTATTATTATTATCAGTCCCATATACATTTTTTACTGTAGCATATTATTTCTGGTTCTTGTATTTTATTTATTTTTATTTATATATTTTAACTTGGCCGATTTATTTTAATATGTACTTGTTGTATTTTTGTTCATTGTTTTTGGGACTGTCATATATTTCATATGTGTATTGTTTTTATTTTTATTTATCTATTTTTGTAATGCTTGTCTTAGTTTCAAGATAGAGTACCTTGACGTGTTCTATGTCATGACAAATGATCTACAGAACAAATAAAGATTATTATTATTATTATTATTATATCCGTTGTTGCCAAATTCGAGCACATACTATTATTATTGAGACAGGGTGGTACTCAAACTTCTAAAGGGCTATAACTTTATTACTTTAATTTTACCACAAAAATGTTAAAGGAAAAAAACATTTCTTTTGATCAGAACTACTCACTGTTAAAATAAATGACTCAACTTCGAAGTCACCCTGTATAACAATACAGCGAACCGAACCACGCGACGAACCGCGCCGTGCTAGTGTAGACGGTGAAAAAACGCCATCGCGAAGCTGATAAGTGTTACAGCTCGCCGTTCGGCCCGATCCAGACTCTGTCGGTTTTTCAGCGTAACATCAAAGGAAAGGCTCGCGACGAAAGTGCACATGTTTGGACAGGGATATCGGTGCGGCGAGCACGCGCTCATATCAGTAAATGGATAGAGCCCGTGAAGAAAAGATGGAAGGGACGGAGGAGAAAACTCTTTTGCTTATAGAGCATTACAGAACAGGGAAATTGTGGTGGGATGCAAAACATACCCTACATTACAATAAATTAAAAAAATGAGGTCTTTCACGGAACGACAAACATTAAAATTGGATCGGTTTGTAGTGATGCTCGTTGCAATGTTGTATGTCAAAATGCGCGCGCTGCAGTTCGTCGCGTGGTTCGGTTCGCGGTGTTGTTACATATCTGTACATAGCTTAACAATCGATTTAGGTTCTAGCGTATGATCGTATGAATAAGCGTGCCCGCGTCTAAACTCATTCCCATGGAGTTCTGCGTAGGTGAGAAGGTGTGCTTGTAAAAACGCATTTATGCAATCTTACGTGGTTCTCCGTAATGCTAGACCTAATTATTATATTCTGAAGGACTCATAAGGAAATGAAATGTCGTAGAGAGTTACCGCCGGATTTCCCCCAAGCCAGATTCCCTCACCAAGGAAGGACTGTTTTTCTGCAGTATTGTTGATTTTGCCCTCGTCAACATTATGTGCTAGTTTTAGCTAAGAAGAAGAGACTTATTGTACTTACATTTAATGACAGGCGCTTAAACTATAGTGCGGAGGTTGTGATGAGATTTGGCGTCAACCCGACCACTACGTGAGTACGTGTCAGTGTGCGAAGTGGGAAGAAAGGCAGTTTGTAGGACCTGAGATGGCAGCGAGACAGGCATGAGTTTCGGCAGAGGGAGCAACATGATTAGTTTATTTTCTTGAATTGTTCGCTATAAGTTGTAAATCGGCCACGAGGCCTCTATGTTAGTAAATAAAGTGATAGTGCAGTTAACGCCGTCTTCCTACCCATTAACCTGAGTCAGCTAGCTCGAACTATTTCAAAGGCCACCAAACCAGGGAGCTATATAAAAGAGATAGACATACTATCGTCATGTAGAGCCAGAGTACCTCTTTGGGTTTAAGCCTCCACCTCACTCCGACAACACCACAAGCCCACAACGAATGACGAGGCTTGATAACTTTGTCTTTACTCAACATGCTCTCTCCAATTCAGTCTACAGTCCAAGATGATTCCTAGATATTTTACTGATTGAGATAAAACTAGACTAGACCCAAAGAAGGTTGGCAAGACAAGCCCATCAAGCTTCATTCTCCTTGCGAATAGGATCAGCACGGTCTTTCCAGCGGTGACAGAAAGATTGACTTGCCTCTTCCACGAGACCGTTCCACAAAAACGATCTCTAATACCTATGCTTAAATCGTCCGCATCGACTTGCACATAAACACCCGTACTGCCGAGCCTAACGAGGAGATCGTTCACCACGGGGCACCACAATTGGGGTGATAGAATTCCGCCTTGCGGACAGCCCCTAGCTACACTGACGCTGCAGCATACGTCGTTAAGCATAGCTCTCCAGAGTGGACAGAACCCGATCAACCAGGATTGATTCAGCCCCGTGCCTAACCAAGGCATGTCTGACGGAGGCGGTTGTGGTGTAATTAAATGCATTTTAAATGTCTAAAAAGGTCACGAATGGCACTGCTCGCTGATCTAGAATCTTCTCCAGCCTACCGACCAGATCATGTAAGGCCAGATTAGTTGATTTCCCAGCCTGGTATGCGAAATGATATTACAATGATTGGCACACCTCACTAGCGGGCCATCCTTCAAAAATCTATCAATTATCCTTTCGAATGTCTTGAGCATGAAAGATGAAAGGGTAATCTGACCAAAATCTCTCGGGCTAGTACAACTAGCCCTGCTCATTTTACGAATAAACATTACTTTAGCCTTCCGCCAGCTTATAGGTGTGAAGCCAGTGGCCATACATGCCCGAAACACCTTCAAAAGGTAAGGTACAACCAAATTCCGCCCGTGGTGTAACATGGCTGGAAATACGCCGTCCAAACCCAGACTTTTGTAAGGAGCAAACGACTCGCTCGCCCAGTCCTCCCCTGACGGCCTGTGCAATGACATGTACTCTGTGATCGATTGCGCTACTGTGGAACCGGGAAAGTGCATATGCATCAGCAGCCTCAGAGTACTTTTCTCGGAAGTAGTATTATCTCCCAAGAGAGATTAGACAGGGATCCCAACCTTGCTTTGGTGACCTTGCACAGAATTCTGTGTTGCCTAGCTGAAGCAGTAATGTCGTCAATCTCCTTTTATATTCCTGCAACGCCTCTACCCACTGTGAAGAGCGTCTCCTCTGTCTAACTCTACTAACAAGTTTGTGCACAGTTCGTGTCATATTCTCTAGCTCCTTAGACCAGAAGGTTGCTTTGCTCTTGCCTTGAATTTTGAGTAAAGGGCAGTTTTCCTCGTACGAAGCTCTCAGGTACTTGCTTAGAGACTCCACAGCTGCTTCTATATCCGAGCCCCTACGAAGGGTGTTTCGAAGCACTCCAAGCTTACTTACTACCAAGATATGTCCTAAAGGACGTCCAATTAGTATGTCTAGGATTCGGAGCGTATTTATCTGGAATCTCCACATCAATCTTAGACAATATATGCCTATGATCCCATAGAGAGGGTGTTAGAAAGTCTTTCCAGACCCTAACCTCCTGAGCTATCATAAGCGTGCCCAGTGCTAAATCGATAACCTCTTCTTTGACATTGTTACTGAAAGTAGCCGTGCTAGCGACATTCAGAACCTCAAGGTTCGTTGTGCCTAGGAACTCCAAGAGCTATTCATCCCATCTATTAGTGTTCGAGCTGACCCACGTAGCGTGGTGTGCATTGCTGTCGCACCCAAACACTAGGTCACGTCCAGAATTCCTACAATACGCTACAAGATTCCCTAATTCCTTAGTCGGGAGAGGTTCCCTTGAATCATAAGGAAGCTTTACCGAGTCTACAACGAAATGCTGTCAGCGCCTTCCTTTTTATATCTAATTCTAACTAAAACTAAGTCCCTGAAGGTAAATTCAACCGGGTTTCCTGGATGAGAGCCACGTCATAGCGGCCTCCAGAGATATGCTGAATGAGAGCTCTTGAAGCTGATATGCAGCGCTATAAGTTAATTTGAATGGAACTGAGACTTACCATAGCCGTTCTGAGAGGCGCCTCCTGCACCTTCCACGAAAACTGGCCTATGTGCCCTTATTCGAGCATATGGTCGCCACCGTCATATTCGTTGCTATCGCCACCATCTCCATCCTCCCCGCTTCGAGTTCTCGGACCTGATTAAGGATGCCATCCTCGTCCAAGTCGCCGTCGTTGCCCTCTGAGGCACGTTCAACTGCCGCACATACCGGTATTTGAATTAAAAATCCGGACAAAACTTTTTTGCATTTCAAGTTACTTCAAAAGCTGTAAGTAGCTCTGTTATGGTTAATATTGCTACTAAGAGCAGCAGGTAAAGAAATAAAATGCTTATAGTTGGAAAACGTAAAAATATTTATTAAAAAAATATAAAAGATGTTATTAAGAAGATGACAACCAAAAATCATCTAAACAGTCTCCTATCTCTTGTGCAGAGCCTTCATCATCATCATTATCATTGTCACCAGACAAATAAGACTGGCCCATCGGTTCTTCAGGCAGGAACATTTCAACAGTTTCCTTGAGAAATGGTTTTGTAATTTTTCTGGGAGTACGTCTCGTGCCAGTTATCAGGGGATCCGAGCACAATAATAACCTATTTATTATATCAAGATTGCAAAAGTCTCTGCTGAACTTCCGAGCATAATTTTGGCGGTATAACCGAAAGTGTAGTATATTAAGTACGCCCCTGGTTCCCCAAAATTGCGCATGTACGATGAGTACTATCGCCGGGACACGTTTTTGCACATGTCGGGGTTCGGATTGTAACAGTTGTATCGGTGATCTATAATAAACCATTAGTATACTTCCGGGTATTATTGATACCAACTAAGACATAACATGGCGACGAGGGTTGTTAAAGAACTCGCCGGGTGAGGTTAAGTGTGTGTAGACTCCTCGTTTGTGTTGAAACCTCCAGTTGTTGCTGAACCAATCTGTGAAAAGAAAGATGGCAGTTGCAGTAGCGGGTCCCGTGCTCACATTCAATCCCAAGCAGAATGAGTGGACAGTTTTCTTCAAAAGGTTAGAGCAGTATTTTATAGCACACGGGGTCACTGAAGAAGCTGACAAGAGAGCTCATTTGCTGTATAGTTTGTCTGAGGAGGCGTATATTTTATTAGAAAATTTATGTATGCCGTAAAGGCCGGAAGAAACCCCATACCAAGACATAGTTCAGTTATTGTCTAACTACTATGGTAACTGCTGTTGTATGGGCCGAAAGCAAGAAATTTTATAGTGCATCCAAATCAGGAAATGAGACGGCACCAGAATGGAGTGTACGACTTAAAGGTTTAGCTCGCTATTGCAATTTTGGTCAGCAGCTTGAGTCTAAGCTAACGGACATTTTCGTTACGCAGTTCAATCCTGGGAAGGTGAGAACTGAATTATTCAGCCTAAACGAGAGCACCACCTTAAATAACGTTGTTGAAGTGGCCAAAATTATCGAAGCAACGCTCCTAATAAGAGACCCAGTTGGTGAAGTTAAAAGCGAGGTCTTAGAATCCGATGTTTTTCGAATTACACAAAATAATTCAAATATTGGTGCCACTGCCGGTCAACATCAAGATCCTCAACGGTATCATAGAGGGACAGCAGTACCTGCAGCGCAGCGGAACCAAGGAGGCACGCGCAGGCTGTTTCCGCTGCGTGAGGAACCACAACAGTAATGTATGCCCCTATAAGGAATATATCTGTAACTCTTGTCACGGCAGGGATCATCTCAGTGTGGTATGTAAAAAGAAAAAACAATCCTCACCTAAGCACGTTAATTATGTTTTTCCTAATAATGATATTGCTGAGGATTATACAGACCCAGTTATAAGTATTTCTACCTTAGGAAGCAACAATAATGTGCCACTATAATCAAATTCAAGCGGATAACCAAATGGAAATGGTATTTACCATTTTGGGTTGGTATTTACCGATCCGTTCAAGCGAGTGTAGTTATCAGTTTGGTTATAAGATCCGTGACGTCACGAATCAGCTGTTATATGTCATAGTTATCACCGCAAAATTGTAGTATTTACCCAACTCAAGAGTAGTTTTATATTTCTGGTTATTATTTGAAATGTGACAAGTTAGAATTTTGCCGGGGTTTGGATATTGTTATTGTACTTCAGCTTCATTTTTGAGAAAATTGATACAGGCTGACTTCAGTTTTACCATAAAGTGGAGCACCTTATTAGTTATACTCATTACGGTTGTTGGGGACACTTTAAATGTAGTTCCTATGCTTAACAAAGTATCCTGTGTAGCCATATACCACAAGAATATTAAAATATGGCCATATAAACTCACTAGATGATATCCACCTGTATACGGTTTTGCTAATTTCTTTTTTCATCATTTCTGCTGAATCAATAAATGTTTTCTTTGACATGCGGAAAAATTCAGAAAATTGAAAGTTATCATAGCTACAAAGCCCTGGTTCCATCATAAAAAAAAATCTGAAAAAACATTTCTCCCATGAATATTATGAAAGATTTCTTATTTAAACTTTCCATTTGCAGTTGTAGACGAAAAATAACCGATTATTAAGTGGTAATAAAAATAATCAGAGATTATATACGCGCTTTTCTAAAATAAACAACTTGCAACAAAACCGCGGTTAAAACCAACGCGTTCAAGCGATTCGTGTAACTGACGTCATCAACCCGTGTGTCATCTTGAACCATATTATAACCACGGCACATAACACAGAAATTTTGGTTATTCGCTTGGATTTGATTTATATATCGATATTTTAGTTGAGAATGTCATGTTGAAATTTGAACTTGACAGTGGATCAACTGTTAGTGTTTTGCCACTTCATGTTTATAAAACATATTTTGGTGCTCATGTCATGAAAAAAAAACAAAAGTTTCCTTGATTAATTTTTCTGGCAATAAGATCATGCCACATGGCACAATCAACTTAAATTTTAAATTTAATTTCAAGGAAAGCATCCTACGCTTTTTTGTTGTTGATGGTAACAATCCATTGCTCCTAGGTCGAGATTTTATTAGGAATTATAATATGGGATTTAGAGAAATTCATTATTTGAACAACGATGCTGTTGATGCTCTATGTAATGAGTTTCCTGGCGTTTTTGCAAACAATTTGGGAAGGTTCAACAAGTGTAAGATCTCCATAAATATTAAACTTGATGCAAATCCTATTTTCCATAAACCTAGACCGTTACCATTTGCAAAGGTAAAGTGGAGGAGGAATTAGATAAATTAGTTTCTAAGGCTATAATATCTCCAGTGGAGTTTTCAGAATGGGGTACCCCAATAGTACCAATTTTGAAGAAATATGGAGGAATAAGAATTTCTTGTGATTATAAGGTAACTATTAATTCAGCTATTCTAGTGGACAAATTTCCCTTGCCTAGAATTGACGACTTATTCACAAAACTGAAAAATGGAAAGCAATTTTCCAAAATTAATCTCTCATCGGCTTACAATCAAATAGAGCACGAGGACTCTTCAAAAAAATTTACGACGATTTCGACTCACAAAGGTTTATTCGAATTCAATAGATTGCCGTTTGGAATAAACTGCGCTTCAGCACAATTTCAAAAAATTATGGAGCAGCTGTTCAATAAAATGCCCCGTGTATGTATTTTTCTCGATGATAGTTTAGTTACAGGTATCGATAAAGAAGATCATATTAGAAATTTGAAAACGGTTTTACTTTGTCTTTCCGAATGTGGTCTCACTGTTAGAAAAGAAAAGTTTGTGTTTTTTGCTGATTCCATTTCATATTCAGGGTTTGTTATAGACGAGACAGGCCTACATAAAAGTTTAGAAAGAGTTAAGGCAATACGCGACATTTCTCCACCAGAAAATGTCACTCAACTTAAGTCTTTTTTAGGCAGTATCACTTATTATAATCGTTTCATCAGAAATCTACCAGATATACTTCACACTTTATATAATTTTTTGAAAAAAGATGTAAGTTGGTCATGGGATAAAACATGTCAGGATTCATTTGAGTATATTAAACTTGCATTATGCTCTGACGATGTGTTGGTGCATTATAATCCTGACCTACCAGTTACTTTGACTATTGATAGCTCTGACTATGGAGTAGGAGCAATTTTATCTCATGTTTTTGAAAATGGTGTCGAAAAGCCAATTTGTTATGCGTCGAAAAACGAGTTGGCATACTCTATTTTGGATAAAGAAACTACCGCGATTGTTTGGAGTACTAAACGATTTTACCAATATTTGTGGGGTAGAAAATTTGCCTTGGTCACAGATAATAAGGCACTCATGTCAATTTTTGGACCTAAAACGGGTGTTCCAGTGATGGCAGCAAATACACTGCAGAGATATGCACATTTTCTGAGTGGCTTCAATTTTGATATCAAGCATGTGTCATCCATTCAAAATGTAGCTGACTTGCTAAGCAGAATGCCGATTGAAGACGACATGTCTGTGCAACATATCGACTTCCCCATTCATTTAAATTATCTCACTAATTCCGATTCTAGTATACCAGTCGATGTTAACAAGGGCAGAGAACTTACATCCTCAGATTCAGTACTTTCTGACGTACTAAATTTTGTTAAAAAGAGGTGGCCTGCAAGTCATAAAACTAATGAATTGATACCTTATTTTAGTAGGAAAAATGAAATCAATGTTGTAGACGATGTACTGCTTTGGGAACATCGAGTTATCATACCATTTCAGTTACGAGAGGTGATATTGAAAGAGTTGCATGCTACCCATTTGGGAATTGTTAAAATGAAGTATCTTGCGAGATCTTACTTTTGGTGGCCGTCCTTGAATGATTATATTGAAAGTGTTAGTAAGCAGTGCAACACATGTCAACGCTTGCAATCATCGCCTGCCAAGGCACCGTTACAATGTTGGCAAATACCCGAGGGCATTTGGTCGCCGATACATATAGATTTTTTTGAACCGAAGAAAAACAATTTCTTTTTGATTGTCGTTGATGCTTTTTCCAAATGGCTTGAAGTATTTTCGATGGCATCTGTGACCACTAACAGGACTATTACAAAGCTGCGAGAACTTTTTTCTAGATTTGGATTACCTAAGACTATTGCAAGTGATAATGGTCCCCAGTTAGTGTCAGAAGAATTCAAACAATTTGCAAATGTTAATGGTATTAAACTAATAACTATTCCGCCTTATGAACCTCATTGTAATGGTGCAGCTGAGAATAGCGTAAAAACTGTAAAAAAATTTTTAAAAAGGTTTGTGATCAAAAGAACTGTAATTTAGTATTAGCTCAATTCCTTATGACATATAGGAATACTGTTCACTGTTCTACTGGTTATTCTCCTGCTAAAGTATTTTTAGGTCGTTCGTTGAGAACTCGGTTTGACATGCTTAGACCAAGCTCAGTCCAAGACAATGAAAAAGTTAAACTAGAAAATGTTTACCAAAACATACAACGTTCCCAACGAAGAAACGCAAAATACTTCAGAGGAAATAGGAAAGTATGTTTTAATATTGACCAAATTGTGTTGGTTAAAGATTATCGCGATAAACAAGTAACTTGGTGTAAAGGACAAGTTGTTAAAATTTTAGGGAAACACGTTTACGTTGTTCGACCATTAGATTCAAATTTTCTTTGGAAAAGACATACTAATCAGATCAGAGAACTAAATGATGATTATTCGTTGGTTTACCCACCCTGCGTGGAGCTACCGCACACTGTAAACGTTTTTTCCAATAGTGATGACGCCAGCAATACTTCTGCCGGCAGTTCGGTTGATGATGTGTTTGTGGATGGATATTCTATTAATGTGCGAGAACCCATCTACGTTTTGTTTCTGATTTTAGATTTGACAATTTGTGTTTAACTTCTTTTCGTTGTTCTTCTGAATAATTTTGAGAATTCTACAAAAAAAATTCAGCATAGTCCAATTTTTTGTTAATGGCGGTTATTGGGATACACTTGCATAATGTCGTAAAATTTTTTTCGAGTAATGAACTTGACTCCAGGGGCCCCTATAAAGAAACAAAAGAAATGGCTTAACGAACGTTCATCTTTTATTTGGCGATTATACTGAAATTTGAATGATGGAAAGTATTTTCTGTCGATATGATTAGCCAAGATCTAGTTATACTCGTATAATATGAGACCAAAATCATAACCCAGAAATTCATCAAAACCATTCGAGTTTAATTATATCAAAGGTAAAAATGATTGGAACATAGATTTCGCGAAAACGTTATTTTTTCTAATAAATCAGCTAATATTACAATAAAAATTGACAAAAAAGGTTGTACATACCTGCCTCAAAAACGTCCATGCTGAAAAACTGGTACACGATTCGTAATAACCTGTAAGAACTTTGAAAGTGAACTGCAGAGTAGCTGTCTACTTTATGCTGATGATCTAAAGATATTTTGTAAAATTTCTACCAACCGCGACTGCCACATACTGCAAAATGATTTAAATGCTCTTAACACATGGTGTCAAACTAACAATCTGTATCTTAATGTGGATAAATAGTTGTACTATGTCCATCACGCGCAAGCTTGCTCCAACGCATTTTGTTTACACCGCTGATAAATTGCCGCTAAAACCGTGTCCGGAATTCAATGATTTAGGCATACGAGGGATGTCTTTTAAGTTTCGCATATGGAAATAAAACAACACGGTAGGTATTTTTAAAGGACTTTATTGCCTTTCGAAGTATTCTCCACGAAGATTAATACACATCTGCATGCGCTCGAACCAATTTTCGAAGCACTTATTCCACTCGTTTGCCGGGAGATCCAACACGACATTTTTGAATGCGTCAACTGCTTATTCTAGTGACTGGAACCTTTGACCACGAAGTCTGTTTTTAATTTTCGGGAAAGTAAAGAAATCGTTAGGACTTAGATCGGGACTATATGGAGGATGATCCAATAATTCCACGTTTTCTTCCGTTAAATACTGTCTTATTTTTTGGGCTGTGTGCGAGCTTACATTGTCCTTGGTGGACGATGAGTCTTCTTTCGGGGTTGATTTTTCGAAGCTCGTTGATGACGTTTGGCAAACAAATGGTGGTATACCTAATCCGCAGTAACAGTTCTTTGCTCATTAAGAGAAATTGTTGCAATATGACCCGCTTTTGTCACAAATGTCGCGACCATCTTTTTCGAAACACTTCGAGAACGGATGACTTTTGTTGGCGTTTCTTCACCTTGGAACACCCAAACAGCCGACTGTCGTTTATTTTCTGGTTCATAACAGTAAATCCACGATTCATCACCACTAACAATGCTGTACACATTTTTTGAGTTTCCGAAATTGAAACGGTCAAGCGTTTTTTGACACCAATTAACCGTGGCTGCTTTCTGCTCTTCAGTCAACAGGTGGGGTATGCAACGAGAAACTAATTTTCTTACTCCTAATTCTTCATGTAAAATCTTTGGATTGAGGTCTTTGAGATCTTCAAGGACGCCTCAATCTCGCGATATGTCACATGTCTATCTTCAATGATGAGCTGCGCACAGCATCGACGTTTTCCTGGGTGACCGCCGTTTTTGGTGCACCCACCCTGGAATCGTCGCTAAGACTCACGCGTCCACGTTTGAATGCTCCATACCAACGGGAAATTGTCGACTGATGTGGCGCTTCGTTGCCGAAAACAGACAGTAACTCAGCAAGGCATTCTTGTTGCGATAATTGTCTCTGAAAGTAATAAATTATGGCGCGAAAATGTTCTCGGTTGAGTTCCATTTTTCTAGTGACTTGGTGACACTTAAAAATTCACTGTAGTGAGAACACTGCACGTATTGTCGTGAAACTTTGAATTTAAGTTTACTAAAGAGTAAGGTTAAGATTCAGTACTGACGTTCGATCTGCGCGGCCTACTATGTTTCTATATGCAAAACTTAAAAGGCATCCCTCGTAATATTTGATGCGAAGCTAACGTTTCCCCAACACATTGATACTGTTACCAGCAAAGCATACAAGTGCTTGGGCTTCATAATCAGGAACTGTAGGGATTTTAATAATTCTACGACCAGGATTCTGTTGTACAATTCATTTGTGAGATCTAAAATAGAATATTGCTCACTAATTTGGTACCCTGTTTATGAAGTGCATCGCAATAGGATCGAAGATATTCAAAGGCGGTTTGCGAAACATCTGTGGGACAGACCTGCCAATTGGTTTCAGGCACGATGTGTTGCTAAGTAGGTTTAATATGTCCAATTTATGCTTATCCTACTGATCGAGGGCCGTGGCAAATGCTTGTTCTGGAAGTTGTTGTATCCAGTATACAACTTATTCCCGTCCAAGTGATTGTGCACGCGTTAAGGAATACCTCAGTACCGATTGCCGGGTGCGGTACAAGTCCGACAACGGGCCACTTTAGGTCTATTTAATATCACTAACACGTAAAAAGTTGGTGGTAGACAAGGACCAGTCGACCGAGGGTGTCCCAGGGTGTCTTATAAATGTCCGCATGTTTCCACACCTAAGCTATGCAGTCGGTTATCTTCCAAAACAAAGAAATTCATGATGATGGATCCCTCGAGCACTAAGAACTCCGGACGTAAACTCACTCCACTCTCGGAATGTCCGGGTGGAGGGTGGGCTCGAGGGAACAACATCGAAGATAACATTTGTTTTTCGAACATCTGCGGGATCAACAGCAACACTGATGCAATCTAATCGTCCCGGCGAGCTTTTCTTGGCGGAGACAAAAATCTCAGAGACTACACCGATTAACCATCTCAACTTCCTAAAGTACGAGGTGCACTCCAATCTGAGAAAGAACGGGGGAGTTGTGGCTTTTGTCCGCAGCAGTCTTTCCTGCTCCAGGGATCATTCTTTGGAATCAGACCGGAAGGACATTCTGTGGCTTCACCTCAACTCCAAAACATCACCCAAATTTATTTGCTGCCCTTATCGCTCTCCCTCGAACCATAACTGGGATGACCTACTCGAATACCTCGCCGTCCTGATCGACTTCCTGAACATCAATGACCCCGCTTCAGAGGTAGTTATTCTCGGTGATTTCAATGCCCATAATGAGCTTTGGTTGGGCTCAAATAAGACCGATGCAGCATGTCGTGCAGTCGAAGCGTTCGCTCTTACTCAAGGGCTGACCCAGCTGGTGACGAGCCCTACTTTTTTCCCCGCGTCTCGTCACACGCCAGTAGCCTGCTGGATCTCTTTCTGACCACGCATCCTGTCCCTTACAGCACTGCTGTCCTGTCCCCCCTGGGTAACTCAGATCACGGTGTTGTGGAGGTTAGGTTTCGGTCACAAGCCGCTGTGACAGCAGAAACTCGTACAGGCCGCAAAACTTGGCGTTACGGACATGCCGACTGGGAGGGGCTCAGAGACTTCTTCTCTAGCTTTCCTTGGAGAGATGTCTATTTCACTCACACTGACGCGGATGCGTCGACTGTTTGTTCTTCGATAACCGAAATTATCCACGTCGGAATGGAGGAATATATCCCTCACACAGTGAAAGTTCCTAAACCAGGGTCCAATGGCTGGTTCAACAAAACGTGTGACACTGCTCGCCAGCAGAAGATCAAGCCACACAGAACCTACTTACAAAACCCCACTGTAGAGAACAGACAAGCCGACGTCGAGTCCAGAAACAAATATAACGAAGCGGTTCGCAATGCCAAAAACCAGCACGATATAAAAGTTAGGTACAGGGTAATGTCACAGCGCAATGGCAGTCGGTCTTTCTGGACGCTGGCCAAGCAGATTGAAAAGAACTTCTCACACAGTAGCCTTCCACCACTTACGTGTCAGGATGGAACTATTGTATTCGACTCAAAGGCGAAGGCGGAAGTGCTAGCCAAGATCCTTGCTGCCAACTCCACCATGGACGTCCCCACCAACGCCCAAGTGCCGTCAATTCAAAGGGTTCCCCACGCTATGCGGGAGGTAACATTCAGGCATAAGACCGTAAGACGAGTGCTCTTGTCGCTCGACATCAACAAAGCTTCTGGTCCGGACTTGATTCCTGCCATTGTAGTGAAGAGATGTGCAGCGGAGCTTGCTCCAGTTCTTTCGCGTCTCTTCCAGATATCTTATGAATCCGGCACCTTCCCAGAAAACTGGAAATTCGCTCATGTACAGCCCATCCCAAAAAAAGGATCTAAGACCGACCCTTATACTTACAGGCTTATAGCTCTGGTTTCTGTTATTAGTAAAGTGATGGAGAGGCGTATACATCGCGAGCTTCTGGACTACCTCGAACGTCACAGCTTGATTAGCGACATTCAGTACGGTTTCCGGTACCAACGATCCACAGGGGACCTCCTAGCTTACGTCACGCAACTGTGGAGTAAACTCATCCAGTCTCATGGTGAGGCTCATGTCGTTGCTCTTGACATCACGAAAGCGTTCGATCAGCTGTGGCACGCTGCTCTCTTAAGCAAACTTCCATCCTATGGCCTTCCAGAAAAGCTTTGCAGATGGGTGGCTGACTTTATCTCTGGCCGCAAGATATCCGTCATAATTGACGGATTCTCCTCTTCATCCCACAACGTCAACGCGGGTGTTCCTCAGGGATCGGTCTTGGCTCCAACACTGTTTCTCTTACATATCAACGACCTCCTTTCCTGCACGATCAACCCAATCCACAGCTTCGCTGATGACAGCACTCTACATACAGGAATTCAGAGTGACAAGCCGATCTCTGCCGCTGAGCTCAAAAAAAGAAACTAGCGACGACTTCTTCTCTGACAAGAGACCTGGAGGCTATCACTGCCTGGAGACGCAACAATCTTGTACAGTTCAATGCTTGCAAAACACAGTACTGTACTTTGACGAACAAAAAGCGTCCTAGCGCTCATACAGTTTCGATGGACGGCCGAGTTCTACCAAAGAGCCATTCATTTCGGCTGGTCGGAGTCCAGATCACCGAGGACCTGATCTGGCACGAACACATCACTTCAATAGCTGCAGCTGCTGGGAAAAAGCTAGACTATTTGTTTATTGCTAAGAAGTACTTTTCTCCGCATGACCTTCTCACTCTATACAAGGCCCAGATAAGGCCTAGCCTCAAGTATTGCTCACACATTTGGGGTGCTGCCGCCCCGACTACATTGTCCATGCTCGATGCTGTCCAGAGGAGGGCGGTCCGACTGATCGATTACTACTACGATCTAGCTCTTTTCTATCGCCACACCAACAGCCTTTGCTCCTCAGAGCTCTCTTCCATGATGCCGCCGCACGATGTGCCTGCCAGACAGACCCGCCTGACTTCGGTGTCCTATCCTAACCGTGTCAAACTTCGTACATCCAGAACTGGCCGATACGACCGCTTCTTTGTCCCGAGGGTGACTAGATTGTGGAACAATTCTACAAGAGGAAGCTTTTCCCAGTTCTACTAACGTTAGGCAGTTCAAAAATCATATTAACAAAATTTCTTTGGGATCATCATAGCAGCCGCGGAGTTCCGGCATTTAGGCTTCTGCCTGCGCGGCTGTTTCGATATAAAAAAAAATATTTAGAAAAGCGGCGAGATTATACTGTTTGTATGTTTTTATGTAAATTACTC